TACTACTACTACTACTACTACTACTACTACTACTACTACGACTACTACTACTACTACTACTACTACTACTACTACTACTACTACTACTACCACTACCACTACCACTACTACCACTACTACTACTACTACTACTACTACTACTACTACTGGTGCCACTACGCCACATCCTCTCCCTCACTTCTCCTCCCCCATCCTCCCCCCCCCTAAAACGACAGCCAATCTGAAAGTCAGCGCCATACTTGCCAGTCGTTCGAACCCGCCAGCCCAGAAGCACGGCGCTGTCCCAGGGGCACACAAGAGTGTCGAGGGACTTCTTGCGGACCGTGTCGAGCCAGCAGGCCACCTTTTGGCGTGAGCCCGAGAGAATCAGGAGCGAAGCAAGGGCAACCACGACCGCCGGGCTAAAGAAACCGCAACTGGCGCCCTTCTGAAGACGACCCCCGACCTCCCAACGGCGATGACTTGCACGCGGTCCCCGCTTTCGAATGCCGCGCGCAGGCCATCACCGCTGAGGGGGGCGAAGTCGGCCTGGGGGAGGAAAGGGGGGCGGCGCCAAGGGCGGTTCCCTAAGCCTAGCGGATGTACGTGTACGATCTTCGCCCCTGAAAGGAAGCATGGAGCGCGCGCGAAACCGTCGAAGGTGAACGAGACGGAGGGAAGGACAGGGAGAAGGAGCAGGATGAGGCGCAGGAGGAGGATGAGAAAGAGGAGGAGGAGGAGGAGGAGAAAGACGAAAAGAGGTGAAGGGAGAAGGAGGAGGAAGAGAAGGGGAAAAGGAGGAGGAAGAGGAGAGGATGAGGAGGAGGAAGAGGAACAGGAGGAGGAGAAGGAGAAGAGACGAAGGGGCGAACAAGGATAATCGGTATCGAGCACGCGAGCCAACTACACCTTCTCCTCCTCCTTCGGGGCGTCATCGTCATCATCATTATCATAATCATCATCATCATCATCATCATCATCATCATCATCATCATCATCATCATCATCATCATCATCATCACCATCATCATCAGCATCATCATCATCATCATCATCAGCATCAGCATCATCATCATCATCATGATCGTCATCATGATCATCAGCATCATCAGCATCATCAGTATACTCGTCATCATCAGCAGTATCAGTATCAGCATCAGCATCAGCATCATCATCAGCACCAGCATCAGCATTGTCGTCCTCATCACAGTCAGCATCATAACATCATGAGCATAAGCATCATGATCATCATGGTCAGCCGCATCAGCAGCATTAGCATTATCAGCATCATCAGCAACAGCAGCAACAGCACAATCATCATAAACAGCAGCATCACCAGCATCATCATCAACATCATCAGCATCATCATCACCGTCATCAACAGCTACGTCGTCATCATCATCACCATCAGCATCGTCATCATCATGATCATCATCATCATCACCAGAGACATCCTCATCATCAACCCCACCAGAAGCTTCGTCTTCCACCATCATCGTGATCACCAGCATCATCATTATCATCATGAACCACATCAACATCAACATCATCATCAGCATCACCACAACCATCGTCCACCTAATCCTCCTCCTGCTGGTCAGCTCCATGATCATCATCATCAGCAGCATCATCATCGTCATCATCAGAACCAGCATGATCATCAACCTCATCATCATCATCATCACCACCACCATCATCATCATCATCATCATCATCATCGTCATAATCATCATCATCATCATCATCATCATCATCATCATCATCATCATCATCATGATCATCAATCAACGTGTTCCTCATATCCTCCTCCCCTTTTCTGTATAAACTACTCCTTCCCGCTGCACCACCAGACAAGTCGATAGGTGGGCCGGGCATTTGGCGTGAGACTGTTTCACAATCTATGGCGCTGAAGCGTGAATTTTCAGAGAGGGGAGGGCGAATCGTTGTCAAAATGCGGCTCCCACTCCAGCGCCCAGCACATTCGTCTGGAAAGCATCAGATCTGCAAGGATGGAGGGCGAGTCCGCCGGCCCCCTTGTGGGGCCACCAGGCTGTAGGCGCGTGATTCGCAGTTTCCTGTACCAGTTGTAGTTTCTAGTTTCCAGTGTTACAGTTCTGCTTCTTGCTGATTACTGTAACTAGTTGACTTCTTGCTGGTTGCTGTAACTAGTTGACTAGTTGATTGACCGCGCGAGGGGGGGGGAGGCCCAAACAGGATTTTTAGCCTCACCTGGGCGCGTTGTCTGAATTGCTGGGGGGGCTCGAAATCGACACCCCTCACGCAGATCCGCGGGGTCAGGGTCCAAAAACACATGGGATTTGCCACATTTCTGAAATTCGGTGCCACCCCTCACGCAGATCCGCGGGGTCAGGGTCCAAAAACACAGGGGATTTGCCACATTTCTGAAAGTCGGTGCCACCCCTCACGCAGATCCGCGGGGTCAGGGTCCAAAAACACAAGGGATTTGCCACATTTCTGAAATTCGGTGCCACCCCTCACGCAGATCCGCGGGGTCAGGGTCCAAAAACACAAGGGATTTGCCACATTTCTGAAATTCGGTGCCACCCCTCACGCAGATCCGCGGGGTCAGGGTCCAAAAACACAGGGGATTTGCCACATTTCTGAAATTCGGTGCCACCCCTCACGCAGATCCGCGGGGTCAGGGTCCAAAAACACAGGGGATTTGCCACATTTCTGAAATTCGGTGCCACCCCTCACGCAGATCCGCGGGGTCAGGGTCCAAAAACACATGGGATTTGCCACATTTCTGAAATTCGGTGCCACCCCTCACGCAGATCCGCGGGGTCAGGGTCCAAAAACACAAGGGATTTGCTACATTTCTGAAATTCGGTGCCACCCCTCACGCAGATCCGCGGGGTCAGGGTCCAAAAACACAGGGGATTTGCCACATTTCTGAAATTCGGCGCCACCCCTCACGCAGATCCGCGGGGTCAGGGTCCAAAAACACAGGGGATTTGCCACATTTCTGAAATTCGGTGCCACCCATCACGCACATCCATCGCAAGGCGTGGTAACCCAAACTGCGAGAACTCCCTCGGCCCTTTAATCGCAAGGTGTGGTAACCAAGCCCTTAAACCATACACGTCTTACCAATCGCCAGGTGTGGTAACCCCTCTTGTGATCAGTTGGTTTTGCTGATTGCGACTCGGCTTCGCATGAAGTTTCGATACTGCTTCACGACAGCGCCAAGGCCTCATGACTTAGCTCTTCCATGGCCCATTCTCCGAGAGAGGGGGCCGGCGGCAGGGGGCGAAGCCCTTACGGATAAAGATCGATGTGTCTACTTCGCCTTAGCGCGCGGAAAGCTCTAAACGGAGACAACGATGGAAAGCGGGTCGCTTTCAATGTGCGGCTCTCGTCCTCACGGTTCCAAAGGCTGAGAGGATGGAGGACGATTCTCTTTCAAGATGGGGCTCTCGCTTAAATTATCTTCATAGCTTGTGACATAACCCATCGGTCGGAAAAAGTAGGTAGAAACATGAAGTAGGAAAGCACTGAAAATATATTGGGTTTCGTCCGCCACCTAAGGAGGACGGAACCGGTGAAGCCACTCAATCATTGAAGTAGCAAGGCGCTTAAAGTAGGTTGGAATATGGGAATCCAAAACTACCTACTTTCAACGACCGATGGGTACTTGAAAAGTGCGCGACCGATACATTGATGGAGGCCATAGTATTATCAAAAAGGTTACCACCAGAAATTGAAGATCGCATTGATTCAATATTTGCACTGATGGACTGTTCTTTGGACTTGATGATCATACCCCGTGGCACTTCCCATGGCTAGAGAGATGTAGGGCAGCTCGTCTTCAAAACGGGGCGCTCGCTTGAATGGCAGGCCCGAGGTGCTCTCGTCTTTCAAGGGCGGTGTCGGGGGGGGGGGAGGCTTCTCGCTGCGGAAGACATGCTGGGACTTCTGGTGATGAGACCTGAGATGGGAGGGTGTGGTGCAGCGTTGCTGACCCTCCCTCTCCTCCGGAACTAAAACACTGCATAACAATAATCATACAATTCGGTGGTCCGCGAGGATTTCGTGCATCGGCGCTGGACCCCCCTCCCTGGCGCGCGGAGCGCGCCAACGGCGCCGGAGGCGACGCAAGGCGTCTCAGCGCCGGTCCGAGAAATCCGCGCGAAACTCCGAAAGTGTGTACTTATGCCGCTCTTTCTTCGAACCTCCTCCTCCTCCTCCTCCTTCTCCTCCTCCTCCCTCCTCCTCCTCCCTCCTCCCTCCTCCCTCCTCCCTCCTCCCTCCTCCCTCCTCCCTCCTCCTCCTCCCTCCTCCCCTCCTCCTCCTCCCACCTCCCTCCTCCTCCCCTCCTCCCTCCTCCTCCCTCCTCCTGCCTCCTCCCTCCTCCCTCCTCGCTCATTGCTCCTCCTCCCTCCTCCCTCCTCCCCTCCTCCTCCTCCTCACTTGTCCTCCTCCTCCTCCTCCTCCTCCTCCTCCTCCTCCTCCTCCTCTCCTCCTCCTGCTTCTCCTCCTCTCTCCTCCTGCTTCTCCTCCTCTTCCTCCTCATCCTCCTCCTCCTCCTCCTGGTGGGGGGCCGCCCCAGTGTGCCCCTCGCGAGTCTGCTTGAGTGCGTAGACCAGCCAGAAGATATTGCTGATGGTGCCTGTCGGCTGTTCAGGGCCAGACGGGCAGGGCGGGAAGGAACAGACGGACGAACGAACGACGCGCGAAGCGTCCCTGGCCAGGGACGCGCCGACCAGCGGCCCGAGCGGAGCGACCAGGGCCATCATCCCATCGCGTGTGCTGCTCAGCACGTCGTCAACACGAAACACGGGAGAACGGGGAGGGGGGGAGAGGACGACGACACCAGTGGAGCGGAATCCTGATCCATGAGAAGTCTTCAGGACCCCACAGGCATCCTGAGGAATCCCAGGTAGCTCCCTGAGAAATCCTCGGGAACCCCGAGGAGTCCACAGGAACACCGAGGAACCCTGGGGTCCTGCAGTTCCCCTCAGGATCCCCTGGGACCTCACGGGATTCCTAAGCAGCAGCAGCAGCAGCAGCAGCAGCAGCAGCAGCAGCAGCTCTGGGGCCATCGCTGGCCTCCATGCGAAAGTGCACGGATACAGGGCCCGACTTGCAGTATCGGGGCCTGCCCTGGCGGCGGCGGCCGGCCCCCGCCGGGGGCGCGGGCGGCACCGCGTCAGCGGGGGGCCCTCGCCTCTTCAAGGCATTGCTCTGGAGAGTGGGGAAGGGCCGCGCAGGTGGATGAGGAGGACGAGAATGACGGATGTCGCCTCTTTTGAACCTCCTGGGGGTGCACCCGTCGCCATGGCTTGAATCCCCTGGAAATCCTGGTCAAGTGGAAATTTTGAAGACTTCTGCCTCTGGTCCATCCTCAATTCCTCATCCGTGTGGATAGCTCCTCCCTGCCGCACCCCGAGGCCAATCGGAAGGGCAGGCTGGACGTTTCGCATGAAACTTCCTTCACCACTTGTAAGCCTCAAACTGCAAAAGCTGGCCACCGTTTCACACATGGAGGGCGTGTCGATTCCACAATGCGGCTCTCGCCATAGCACCGCGAACAATTGTTTCAACAAAGTGCAAGAGTTTCACGAATTGAGGGCGGGTCGTTTCCAAAATGTGACTCTCGTATTAGCGCCGCGCACAGTCGTTTCAAACAAATGCCAGAGCTTGAAGGATTGAGAGGGGTGGTTTAAAAGTGTGCAAGAGCTTCACGGCTTAAGGGCGGCTCATTTTCAACATGTGGTTCTCGCCGTAGCGCCGCACACATTCGCTCTGGAAACTGACGCCAGTTAACAATTGAATGGTTCGAGGGCGGCTCCTTCTTCAAAAGCTGGCTCTCGCCTCACCGCCGCGCACCTTCCAGTTTTGATTATATATGGTGTATGCTCCGATATAAATACCTATATACAAACATACAAATACATATACATTTACATGTGCATATGCATATGCACATGCATATGCATATATCTACATATACATATACAAACACATATACATATACATATACATATACATATACATATACACATACATCTACATTTACATATGCATAAACATATACATATACATATACATATGCCTATACATATATAGATGTACATATACATATGCATATATATACATATACAGATGCAAATGCATATACATTTACATATACACATGCGTATACATATACATATACATATACGTATATATACACATATACATATACATCTACATATACATATACATATACGTATACATATACATATACATATACATATACATACACATATACCTATACACATACATATACATATACATATATATATATATACATATACATATGCATATACACATACACAAACATATACATATGCATATACAGATATGAATACGCATATGTCTGTGTATATGTGAGAGAGCGTGATCCACCGCCGCTTTACTGTGGAAAATTGTCCCCCCTCTTCCTCCGGAACCCGGGGGTCCCCCCCCCCCTCCGAAAATCTCCCCCCCCTGCTGGAACCCCCCCCCTCCCCTCCCCCGGCACTCCTCGAAAACCGGGGGGGTCACTACCGGTTCGAACCCCCCCCCCTCGAAAACCGGAGAGGGGGACATTACCGGCTCGAACCCGTCCCCACCCCCCCCCTCACGCACCACATCCCCCACTGTTGTTCCCAGCACTACTGTCCTCACCACCACTGGTCCCACTGGTTCCACCACCGTCCCTACCACTGTCGCACTGTCCCGACTGTCCCCGCCACTGTTCCCACCACGGTTCCACTCCCCACTCTCTCCACGGCATCAACCACTGCCCGACTATCCCCACTGTCCCCACTGTCCCACTGACTCCTCCGCTGTCCCACTGAGCTGTCCCACTGTTCCCACCTCTGTCCCCACTGTCCCCACCACTGTCCCATTGTCCCATTGTCCCATTGTCCCACCGCCGTCCTCGCCACCGCCTTCACCAGTGTCCCCACCACCACTGTACCCTCCACTGTCCCACTGCTTCCACCACATTCCCAATGTCCCCACACCATTGTCCCCGCCACCACCGTCCCCACTACTGTCCCACTGTCCCCACCGTTCCCACCATTGTCCTCACCACTGTCCCCACCACCACCGTCCCCACCACTGTCCCACTGTCCCCACCACTGTCCCGGTGTCCCCTCACCACTGCCCCCACCACCACAGTCCCCACCACTGTCCGCACCACCCCCCGGTTTTCGAGGGGGGGGGGGTTCGAACCGGTAGTGACCTCCCCGGTTTTCGGTTTTCGAGGGGGGGGTGGGGGGGTTCGAACCGGTAGTGACCCCCCCCCCCTTTCATAATGGACTGGGGGGGGGGAGGGGTTCGAACAGGCAGTGACCCCCCCCGGTTTTCCGGAGGGGGGGGGTGGGGGGGGAGGGGTTCGAACCAGTAGTGATCCCCCCGGTTTTCCGCCAACAGCGGTAGAACACGCTCTTTCATATATGTTTGCCTTTTTGTTTCCTTAGTACTGTTAACCAAAAACTGTGCATGATGTTCACTAGCCCTCAAAGTTAACATACCATAAACTGTGTTCTGTAACGATTCAGGGCTCAAGGCGCAATATTTACGTTGGTTCGCAGTGTTGAACTCTCAGGAGTGGAGTTTTCGCGCGATGCAGGACCGTGAACGAGACGGTGAGGTTGACTCGTGGCGTTGATATCCCGAGAATGGTGATCTGGCACGCTTCAAGATTTTCACACGGTTGCCCGCCTACGGGGCACATCCCTCAGTGGAAATGAACCCTTGGGGCCGATGTAGAAGGAGCTTGAAGGGAGGGTGTATGCAAATATCGTTGATGAGCCTTGGGTTCCCACTGGTCATATCTCCTCTTTCTCCTCCTCCTCCTCGTCCTCCTTGTCCTCTTCCTCATCTTCATTATCCTCGTCTTCGTCTTCGTCCTCGTCCTTCTCCTCATACTCCTCGTCCTCGTCCTCGTCCTCGTCCTCGTCCTCGTCCTCCAGCTCATCCATCCTCCTACTACTCCTCCTCATTCTTATTATTATTCGTCTTATTATGCTTCTTCTGCTGATTAGTATTGTTATTATTCTTCTTCGTATCCTTCGTCTTCATAACATTCATAATATTATTCCTCCTCCTCCTCCAGCTCATCCTCCTCCTTACTCCTGATATTCCGGTTACTACTTCTGCTACGACTACTTCTACTACTACTACTACTACTACTACTACTACTACTACTACTACTACTACTACTACTACTACTCTACTACTACTACTACTACTACT